TAATTTTCCTTCTCACTCCTTTGTGGTGGCCCTTCCAAACTCCGTTTTTGCTGGGAAAGACACCATGGGCCGGTCCTTTGCTGTTTGCAGGAAAGCCCTATGGGGCAGATCTAAACAACCTCTGGACTGGATGTGGTCCCTGGACCTTGAGTTTGAGATCCCTGCTCTATGGGGCAAAAAGGAAAGAAGAGAGAAGGAAAATTAAACAAGACTTAAAAATTTGGAAAATTTAGAGGGTGCAAATTGGAAAATTTTAAGGACTATAAATTTAGGGGATATAGAGAAACAATTCCAGAACTATATAAATTTTATTAATATTGGCATTTTTGGTGTTTTGGGGCAATTGGAATCTTGGAATTTTGGTGGAATATTGAGCAACTATTACCCCATTAAATAATTGCAAAATATTTCAACGGGAAAACAAATATGGTTTATAAAGAAATATTGATGTTTCAATGTATTCACGAACATATGACAAGGAATCATAGGGAGATGATGGAATTGATGCAGGAGACAAATGTGAGACTAGAAAACCCCCAGCAAACAATAATAAAAGATGGACAAAAAATTCAGAAAATAGAGGAGAAACCAGAAGAAGCTAAGGAAAAAATACAGAAGATAAATTCAAAAATGATACAAGCAGATAAAGATATGGAAGAGATAATAATTTCTAAAATAGAGCAGATATATTATCCTCTAAGAGTTCAAAACATAGAAGAGAATAAAGAGAAAGTTCTCTTAAAAATGATGAAAGAACTACGGATGCTGTTGGATCTCTAGAGTACCCACTCTAGAGATCCAACAGCAAGAGATAGGCATTGTGGCAGATGAAATACTTAGATTAAATAAATGTACCATAAGGAGTTACAAGAGCCCAAGGGAGAAGCATGAAAGATTTACCCAAAAGTCAATAAGAGTTGAAATTCTCAAAAGAGCAAGAGATGATGGGTAGATATAGAATACTTCTTAATAGAATGGATTAAGAGTTAGAAAAAAGAGGTAGGAAGTAGAAACTGGGAAAATTGTATTAGGTATACTATGTGTATATGAACACATAATTACCATGTATACACAAATGTTGGAAGTTGAAAGATTATGATTATATATATCTAAATAGTAGTAGTAGTAGTAGTAGTAGTAGTAGTAGTAGTAGTAGTAGTAGTAGTAGTAGTACTGTGCTTAAAATATATTGACCCAGACAATGTACTGTTCACCAAGCATTTATGAAT